CGCCCGGCGACCGCCTGCCGCCCTCCGCCGCGGGAACCGGCGTGCTGAGCGGCGACTTGCTGGCCAAGGAGGCGGCGTACAAGTAAGGAGGCGGCCGGGGCGGCGGCCAGGCCCTGTCACCTCAGCGTTACCCCGCTCGCTGCTGGTGTCCTAACGGAGTTTACAGTTAATCCCCTGTATTCGAGTCCCTCAACTAGTTCCCCCCCAAAGCGTACCGATGGGAGTACCAGAAGCAACGTGTTAACGGTCTCCCGGCACGGTACGGCCTTCCTGCCGCCGTTGTACACGGGGTAGGCTGCTCCAGGCCTCACTTCGGCCCTGCAGCATTGGACATCACATTTTTCTCCATTTAACACTGATGTTACTTTTAAATTATGAATATGTAAGTGCTTACGCCTGTTAAAAAAAGCTTAAAAGCTCTAAAGCTTGTGACAAACGCAGTGAAATCACATTTAAAAGCATTTGCTCTGTTACCCTTCAGTTGTCAGCCGCCGTGAACTGTGAGGATTTACAAGGAGCCATGTCTCAGAAACTTAGTCACACTGCATAGAAAGCCACGAAGTGAAACATGCAAGACCACAAGCTTATTTTAACCTGTACATACGTATAGCAACACATTTTAATTATATGATCAAGTAATGTAATCATACATTACTCCTTCCCAAACCCCTGCTGCTAAGTATACCTAAGGTAAGGACTGCGTTAAAGACAGAAAGTATTGAGGAAATAAAGATGTAAAATGTTTTTTTAAGCAATGACATGGCCAAAGCAAGGACACCATTAGTGAATTATAGTCTAAACCTTACTGTTAAATGGGTATAGGTGTTTTATTACTATTGATTTGACAGAAACCCAGGAAATTGTTGAAACACAACTTTGATAGTACCCTGAAGTATATTTTAGTGTTGATTTGTAGGGTTTATTAAAATTTCACATAGTTCAGGCAGAGGGACTGTCATGCTTACACTCACGTCCTTTAAATCTTAAAAAAACTGAGTGACAAGCATTCTTACTCTTTCAGGCGACTGAATGCAGAATTAGAAGCAAAAACAGAAAAACTGGTGCGTCAGGCTGAAGAAGTAATGGTGAGTAGGTTATGCAGACTGTTACATAACTTAGTCTTGGTTCACATGCACACAGGGTCAAGTTTCAAAAGAAATTTAGACCTTAACAACTAAAAGTATATCGATTTCAAATGCAATCTATGCTTTTAATCTTTTTTTTTTCAAAATTGTAAACTTCTACTAAAAACACTTCCAAAAGAAGTTTTTATATAATTTCATCAGGTAGGTAGATGTTCACATGGATGCGTAGAGCATTTGTGCAGATATATACATAAAACCACAAGAAATTTGTTTATGATGTTTAGGAAAGTTATGTGTAGGTGGTTTTATGTCTTAAAATACTAAAAAAAGTTATTTGAAAACCAGATATTATTGCAGTAACATCCTAATGAAATAGGATCTACATTGTTCAAGCTGAAAGAAATACAAAGAATAAGCAACATAACAGAAAATATGTAGTTAGTAAGAAGGAAACTCTTAAAACAGAAAAATTTCCTGGTTATTGTCAGTATTATCTTTTAATCGTAGTGTGGCTGTGTACCAGATAGAACCAAGTTTTTATGTGAAAATTAGACAAATTAAAGAAAGGGAACAGGGGAGGTATGATTTGTACCCAAAACAGTTTGGAAAAGGTGTTCTGCATATTAGATATATTAATTTGAAGTGCACTCAAATAAATAAGGCTTAAAAAGCAAATTAAGTCTTCTGGAAAGCTACACTTATATGCACTTTTCCTACTGTTAAAACTTCATTTTTATGTCCTGTGAAAACATACTCTCTTGAGCTGTGGTAAGCTGAGGCTAACTGCTTGGCATTTGAACAGAAGCAGACAAATCATCCAAAATAGCATCTAGTCTCTTTCCTTTAAAAAACAGCAACAATAAAGCCACTTTTTTTTTTTTCCTTCTCTAAATAAAGCAGAAGATCAAATACTCTTAGGACACTTAATGTACCACATGGCACTGCCGGATTGCACAGATATACATTTAACAACAAAAGAAAAACAGTCTAAGTTTAAAAAAAAAAGCCAAAACCAAACCAAAAAAAATGCCAAACAAGACAACTGCATTTTGTTCTGCATCATGCTTTCTAACTGTAACTTAGCAACATAGAAGCTATCTGAACATTCAGACTGAATTGTTCTCTAATGTACATACAACATACCAGTGTCCAATTATGGTCATATGAATAAAGATTTATTTTTGAGGCTTATTGTGCAATATAGAAAACTGAAAGTTTGTTCCACCTGCTGTGCATTTGCTACTCCTATATTTCAGAGAAAAAGGAGGAGGGTAACAGCATCTGAAATGATGTTAAGTTGGGCAAAAGTTTTACAGGCAAAAGGCAATTGCATGTTGTGGAGCAGAAATAAATGTTGGGGGATAGCAATGGCATTTTAATTTTTAGCCATCTTTTCCTGTGTTTGAGAAGGTCTTTTCCACAGTTGACTATAGATTCCATTCTTTCTCATAGTAGCCTGTAGTTGTTGTGATCTGTGATTTACAAATATGTAATTAATCTTTAATGGATTATATTCCCCCAAAATTTACTACTTTTTTTTTTTTTTTTATAAAGAAAAGCCAACAGGAGATACTATCTAGGCCAGTTTCAGTACAGGCTAAGTCACCTGAAGACAACAGACAGAGGTATGTGCTTTACAACTGCTGCATATAATTCATGGGGAATCTTTCATGCTGATCCTGCACACCGTGACTTGCACCCTAGTCATGCTCCTGTTTTATCTAATCTTTGCAACACACTAGATTGGTGGAGTCTAAATTTTTTCCTACTATTTGAAACAGTTGATACTAAATAAGTGTCATTCCTTGTTATTTCAAGGAAGTCTTAATTTGCTGAAATGTTCTGTCTAAGATGCTAAGTAATGCTGATATCTGCAAAAAAAGCAAGATCAGGTAACAGGTTTTATTGCAGTACAAAACAGTAAACACTCATCAGTAGATGGTTTTTAACCAGTTCAGCTGACAAAGCAAGGAAATAGATGTTGGTTCACATTTAACTTGGCCTAAATGTTCCCAGGACAGGAAGTGCATGATAAAAAAAACAAACAGAAAAACCAAAGACAGACAAACATTGAGCTGCCACCCTCTGGAACCTGGATATCATTACATTTCTGAGGCCGACATACCTTTGGCCTGTATGAACATTACATGCAACTGTGGGTTTTGGCCTGTATGTTGAAACCCGTTAGCTCTGGGGTGGATACATAGCAGTATTTACATAGTTGTTCAGAGGCATGATTATTTACTTAGTTGTTCAAGGGTTTGTATATTGATAGTACAGGAAGTGGGTGAATTTAAGATAGACTAGTACACAGTTTATGAAGGATCCTAAACTTATGATGCACCTAATATGGGTAACAAAGATCCAGGGCCAGACTACAAGGTGCTTCAAATGTTAAGCTGCAGTTGGAAAACTGTTTTGAAATAGTGTATATGAAAGTCTGCTAGAGAAGATCAAATAATTACTTCTGTGCAGAGTAAAAGTGAAAACAAAAAGGTTTTTTATGATTGTAAAAGGGTTTTTCAGTACACAGGAAGGTGTGACAGGAAGACTGTGATAGAAGCCTGGCTATACCAGCAAAAGTTTGCTACTATAGTTAAAATTATTCCTGAGCTATTTTAAAGCCATATATGTCAGTTGTAGAGGGGGAAAAAAAAAAAAGAAACTATATGTTATCAGTATAATCGTTCTTTGCAAATGAATTCTGAATTTTGCTTTATTTTTATGTTCTGTTAAATGGATTTTGAACAGTAAACAGAAGATTTTTAAGAACTTTAAACTGGAGTAGAGTTATAGGGCTGTTTTATGAAGTCACATGATTGGAGGATTCAGCCCCGCAAAGGGGACAGCTTTGGTGGTATACATTTGAAATAAACAGGAATGCTGGAAGAATTAAAAAAAATATTGGCAATTAACAAGTCAGAGTAGCAGCTGATCTACCAATTACCTACATAAATTAAAACACCTTAAAACAACCACAGTCTGTGTTCTGGTAAACATTTATGTGAGAGAAGAATTGACATCCCATGCTGTAGTGAAAAAATTAGAAATGTGTACTAGGAATTAGGCACACTGATTATCCATGAGTGAACATTGAGGCCATTCAATTAGATTAGTTCCAAGTGTTTAATATTTAATTAACATTTTTTTTTCTTTCAAAATTGTGCAAGCAGATAGGCCATAAATCTAAAGCAAGCACTTGAGATATTTTTGAAATACCCATTTGAAATTTCCATTGATTCCTGTAAGGAAAATGAACGCTAAAGCAACTGGAAAGAAGGGGAGAAAATGAAGCAAAGAGGTAGTATCAGGGTGGGGGGGTGGGGAGAAAGACAGATTAAGAAAAAAAATGAGTAAGCAAAGTAAAAAAAAAAGGGGGGGGGGAATAAATATTTAAATCACTCTTCGAGTCAGTGTATATTTTAAAATACATGATTTGGAGTTTTTATAGCATAATTTTTGCAGAGAAGCTTGAATTACATGGAGACAAAGCACCTCCAGTGACACCACACTGAAATCAGCTTTTGTTTACACTTTCACTCTTCGGAGCATTGCCAGGCTCATGGCGATGGGAACTGTACGCGCATGGGCAAGCATGCTATAGGCTTTGAATAGGATTAGCAAACACAAAGGGTTTGCTCATGCACATGCATCTTGTGTTTACATGCTGAGATGGAATTGTTAAACATTAGCTTCTGTTTCACCGTTGCCACAATCCTCTAGCTACTTATTTGTATACCTTTTCAGGATTTACACATTAATTTCACTTACCAAACAACTACAGAACTGTATTATGAGGTTTTAAAAATGGGTTGTCATGTATGGGGAAGAGGAAAGAAACCATTAAGATTAAACAAGTTTGAGGAATTCAGTGGACAATGAGGGAGGTTTTATGTTTTGCTTTGTTTGATTTTATTAAAGGCGGCCCTGAGAGAACAGGTATAGTAGGAACAAATTAGTCTATTGATGGAAAGACCATTATTGTTTTCTTGAGTATAGAAGGTGGTGTGTTTTCATATTTTTTCAGAGTAACATAACCTATTTCTGTGGCAGCAAATCCTCACCTTGTGCATGCTCCTAAAGCTAGCCAATAGGAAGGAAGCATGAGGAAAATAGGGTAAATAGACAAAAACTAATCATCCTATTCTTGAAGTCTGTTGCCAGCCACACACAGATGATTTCTCCAGGTTTTTTTTGGATTAATAAAATCTGGAGCTTTGTGCAGATAATTCTTGTTGATGAATGGATGTCTGAAATTTTAAAAGGCAAGATCTAAACAATTGCTCAAATCAGCCAGGCAAAAAAATTGAGGTGACTTGATGTGCCTGAAATTTAAATTTTATTCCAAGTCTTCTATAAATCAGCATTTTAATTGAAGTAAAAAATAAAGTGTAATAAAAACGTAGCCTTTCAGTGCAATAACACAGATTCACATAGTTTATTCTGAAAGCAAAAAAAGAACATGACAAGAAACTTGACCTGAATGGTACACAGCATGCTAAAATTTTCTTATTGCCAGCATATTTTAAAAGTAATCATTTAACAAAGTTCAGTTACTAAGAAGCATTTTTTTCAGCCAAAAAGCAGATAAGAAAGCTGCTTTTCTAATCCTGATTTTTCATCTGCAAAATGCATACAATGTTTATAATACATATTTCAGAAAACATTCTGTGAGGCTTAATTTATAAATCGCTCCTGCCTCATATTCACTTGATAGTCCTTGTTAATTGACTTGACAGCAGTCAGTCTGAGCATACAATTACACTCCCTCTTAGGATGTAGAGGACACTAGTTTGTATCTTCATTTTTTTTGGTATTAATTCAGGGATTTGTATGTCAGGTAGGCGTATTAACCACTGAGCTGTTGGTGATCTTTGGTTAATGGATTATCAGTCTGTCTTGTTGAAGCTGATAACACTCTGCATACTGGCTAAGTACACCCTGGTACAGAGAATCATTGATCTAATAAGCCAGTAGCTGCAGCAGTCGCCTGAATTGAAAGATAGGAGATTCAGATTCTGGTACATAAGTAAACTGCTTTATTAGATACCCTGGACTCACCAGGTGATTTAGATAGCAAATGAAGTAGAATGGAAAGGCAGAAAATGAGACTGAATTTATGTATAGTTTTAGTATATGTTCTCACCTTAGCTATATTGATTATTCTAGACATATAAAGTGTTATTCCCCTGATTCTGACAGGGGGTGGGGAGTGTTGAATTTTTATTGTGAAATGTTTATTTTGATACATGTGTTCAGTGAACTTTTTTTTTTCCTGCAGAGATCTACTCAGTCCTGAAGTATCATCTCTCACACACTCAAATGCCAAGGTATTGAAGTCAAAACTATCCTGGTTAATTTATCTTCTAGTATAATTTCCACATATTACTTCTGATTCTGAGGCTGTGCTGCACTGGGGCCTTACATGGGTGGGAAGCCAAAAGGAAATTACGTTCAAAGCAGTGCTACAGGGACAGTGTTACCAGGGTTTCCGAGTGGCACTGGTGGTTAAGTGGACTTACATCACATTTAATTTTTGTGTTCTAAGTTTCTTCATCTGTAAAGCATTGACAGAAGTGTTCAGTGTTTTGAACATCAATTTAAGAATTCCAAGTGCAGAATATTACAATGTCATTCATTTCTTCCATTCTCCCCCTTCTCTCCCCCAATAGTATAATACTAAAGACAGTACTACTGTCTTCTAGATACAATAATAAGCGAGTGGTCAAAATCACTGAATACAGGAAGGGAAATATAACTGAGAACGGAGGTTGACACCAAGAACAAAGGCAATAGTCTCTAATTACAATTACATTGAATCTTTTAGGAAGTAAGATAAAACTTCCAAAATATTGTCTTCAGTTATTTATCAGAATACAGTAGAAAAAAGCCCAATTGTTGAAGAATATTTGAGTGAAAGTAACAAAAATATTGTTGATCTTCCTTCTACAGGGAATTTATAAGATTAGAATAATGCATAAAAATAGCATGTTTTTGAAGGTATAATAAGCATTTTTCAAAGAAATGCACTCAATTGACAGTCCAATAATTAATATCTTGATAATAGCTGAGAGCCTTGCTTATCATGAATTTACTACGAGTATGTGCAAAAACTCCCACAAGCAAATGACTATTGGCTGTATTATAATTTGGGCATACAGACATGAAAGTTGAAACATAAAGACGAGTGCAAATAAAGCTGTAAAATTGTGCCTTTGAAAGTTTGAAAAGCATCCTTAAATCTGAATATATGAAAAAGAAAAATACCAAAAAACACTAGAAAAAAGTAATTCCTAACTAACTAAAAAAAATTACTACTTTCTGAAAAAATTTGTAGCTAGCAAACAAGAAGAAATGTGCTTCCACGCCCACAGCTCAGAACAGACCGTACTCTGGAAGTAAGGGAAAAAGAACAACTTCAAGGTATACTATAGCCATCTCTCTCTACTTGTAATAAAATATTTTAGTTGCTATTTTTGTCTATCGTTATTTTTATTCATGTGTGCTTCTACATTTATCTTTATTTGTATAAATAAATGTATCAAACTTTTGGTCCTCCTTAGTTAGCTCCACCATGTAGCTATCTCTATTTACTTGCATAGAGCGCCAAAAAGTGTTGGGGAACATATGTGATTTATTTTACAACAATGAAACTGTTGCTTTCTGCTCAAGCTCTTCTCAAAGCTGACATTAAACTCTTAACTCCCTCAGTGAAAGGATGTCTAATGAGCATACATGTGGGAAATACATCATCTGAGGCAACATGAGAGAGCAAACTTAGGTGGTGCAGACTGATTTGTGATCAGACTTGTGATAGGAAACATGAGGCCCTTGAGGGTCTCCCCTATTTTGGTGAATTAATCAGGCTCACAGGACAAGAGAGAGTCAGTAATAGTACCACAGTTTTCAGGGGTTTCAAGCTGAAAAGCTTCAGCTTTGTAGATAGCAAATTCAAGGTTGTAAAAACAAGAAATGGACATCTGGGCAAAAGCAAAGAGTAGAGAAATGCATAAAATCCTGGGAATAAATTAAAACTGCCACAAGATATGGACAAATACCAAAGAGGATTAAAATTGTCTGCAAGGTGACAGAACAGGGAATTGACACAGGTCAAGGTTGTCTTTCAGGACTTGGGAGTCACTTGTGGACCCTTTGGACCTCTCTTGGGCAGTTCAGGGGAGGCTGTCATGCTAGCACCACATAATGAGATTTAGAAGTACAGATACAGGACCTGCAGGGTGAACCCAAAGTTGTGGGAAAAGGTTAACGGCTAGAAGGAGTTTGGAGGCTGCATTGAGATGGGGATATATTGGAATAAGAACTTAGAAGCTTCAGATCCTGTGGGAACTAATGTCATCTTTTTATAAAGGAAAGCTGAGGAGCAGATGTGTCACATGCCTTGTGTTTTGGTTTTATGAAAACTTTGGAATGCAACTTCTAGGATCAATGAGGTTTCCTAGGCCAGGCATAATGATACAGAAATTGTGGTAGTATGGTAGGAATATAGCTAGAGAGGACAGAGTTCTAGAAAAGTTAACATGCAGGGGATAAAAAATAGCAGAATTTAAGGCAGAAGATAGTAGCTGAAGCCAAGAGAACACTCCCCTGTTTCTTTCTTCTACTCTGATTTAATTACGAAGTTGTTGGATGAAACCATGCCAAAATCTTCTCAGGTAGAAAATGGTACTGTTTCTCTGCCTCCTACATTATAATATGTAAATCCTGAAATTGTTTATCTGGAATATGGTAAAGGTATCTTACCTAAAGAAAATGAGAAATTGCCATCAATGCATCTTTCAGATGAATGCAAGCAATGAAGTTGCATTAGGTAAATACGCTATGTTTTCGTAAATTTCTTTTTGTATTATAAATTTAAAATCTAGGGTTTTTTTTTTTTTAGTTCAAAAATAAGAAACCTGGAAGTACAAAGTGCTGGTGATGTTGCAGTACTGGAAGATTGCATAGATTTTTCTTTAGCAAGAACAATAAGCAAAATTGAAGAAAAACTAGAGAGAGGAGGCTTACCAGGTTGTCTAGATGATGATACTATTCCAGGCATTGGAAATGAAATTGGAGCAGGTAGGTTTCCTCCCATGGTTAAGTACTTTTATTCTTAATTCCTGACTATTCGAAATGGATTCTCCTGGGGAAAAAAAGTAAGAGTTTCTGTAGAAATTACAGGGAAAGTTCTAAAGCCCTTAAGTTAAAGGAAAAGAAAGTTTTCTTTATGTAGTCCTAGAGGAAGATCAGGCCACATACGAATAATCATGGGAGAAAGTTAATTTTTATCTTCCACCTTTGTAGGAAGACATTTGGATGGTTACACATGTTGAATATATGCGTAACATTTGATTCATTTCACCGGGGAAACAGAAATAAACAATGCTAATCTTATATTTCCAAAAATATGAGCTTGTGCCTTTACAGGAAAAAGCCTTTCCTCAGATCAGTGTTGTAGATCTTAGTAAGTGGCTTAAATGAGGTAACGTTTCAGCTACAGTGCTACTTTCCCAAATCGTGTGTTTATGTTTGTCCTAGAAATAGAATAGGAAAGGGGATTGCAGCATTTGCCAGTGAAGCTAAAGGCATGATGCACATATGTCTTCTTGGCTCTAGTGTGACAGAAGTGGGTTTATGTAGTTTCTTACAACACTAAAGCAAACATGAAGTCAGAGATTCACTGCAGTAGTACAAAATGCCCCAAACCTCTTCTTTTAACAGCTTGATGTCAAGAAGCACACCAACACAGAAATAGCTTGATTTCTAACCTCATGTAATTCTATGCGAGTCTGCTGTTAGTAAGTCTCCCAAAACAGATCCTCAGCTATTTTTTCTTATAGTTCTTGTTCCCAAACTAAAAAGAAATTGCTTTGGACTGCATTGAAAGCTTACACCAAATAAATTCAAGGTAGCTCAAGAAGAGTTACTACTGGTGTCTAGTAATTGGGTCTTGTGGACCAAGAGCATGTATTTGAGTATTGAGAATTGTTTCTGTAGCTATAATGATGAAATGAAAATACTCTCAATTGATTTTTGTTTATTAAATTAGATATTGACTATTTAGAACACTCTGAATGCCTCATTAGTATGCTAAATAAGGTATTGCAGAGCATGCTAGCAGTGTCAAACTCACAAAACAGTCAAGAGTTTTCACAAGGAATTAGACATAGATATTAAATAGGCCCTGTTACAGCATGGGCTGATCCCATAGTGAGAATCTTCTAGTAAGGTATTCTTTAGGCTTATGTGCCTGTGCTAGACTTTTTAGGCCAACACGCTGATAAGGTTCCATAGCATTGTCCTTTCCCTGAGCTCCTTACAGTGCTCTTTCTGGACTTCGGTTCCATAGCTTTATTTCATTATTACAGGTTATCACAGTGCAGCCATTTTTCTGCCAATGCAGTAGCTTACACATTATTTTTCTCAGGGGCTTTTTTTGTGGGTTCTAACTCAACTGCAGTAACAAGCAATGATAAAAACACACAGACATGTAGAAGACTGGCAATGAAGCTCTATTTTTATCTCATATAGCCTCACACACATGAACAAAATACCTGAATGTGTTGTCGCACTTCACGTTAATCTTCAGATTATCTCAGGAGTTCAAGACACCTATTCTTTCTTGTAGGATGTAAGAGTCTCAGATGTCCTTTTCTTGTTTACTATTCCCTAAACTGTTGGTTACTTTATAACTTAAAGCCATCCTATTGATAGCCCTCCCCCTTGTCAGCCTCATCAGGTGATTAAAATTGACCAATTAGGAAGCTAATTGTTTAGTTATCTTTACCTCTTGTGAGAATTCAAACGAATTTTGGATGATAGCCACCTCCCAAGGCTGATCTGGTTCTAGTTGTGCTCTTGGATTTTTCAGCAAGGTTTACTACTAAGTGCTCTTAATGACACAGAGCTGTCTAAGACAGAAGTTGTCTGTGAACTAATAAACTGAGTAAAAGAGGAAACAAAATATTAAAAAGAAACAACCAAGTTTTGCAGGTAGATGATCTGTTATGGAGCTTGCATTGTTCAATATACAGAAAAATACTCTGGAAGAAAGGAACGATTGCTGGTAAAGAAATTTGTATATTAAACAATGATTTTAGGATCGTGAAAACTGACATTGAAGTGTTGTAGAAGAATCTCAGTGCTGAGTGAGGTGATGGAATTGGAGGTTTATATTCAGCATTAAAAAGTGCAAAGTAGTGCTGATTGATAGAAAAAACAACTCCAATTACACCTACTTCTGAGTTGGACTTTGTTTAGCTATTACTAATTAAGATGTCTCCAAAAGCATAACCTTACAGCTTGTTCACAGTGGAAAAGACAAACTGATTGTTAGAAATCCTTCAGAAAATAACAGAAAACAAAATATTGTACTGTTATCGTTATGCTATTGTATAATTGATGCTACCCCCTCTTGAGTGTGACACACAGTTCTGCACACCCCATCTCAAAACCAGGATGTAGAACTAGGAAAGATACAGGAAAGAGTATTAGTAGCAATTAGAAGCATGGAACAACTTGAATTTGAATCTTCAATTTGAAAACAAAACAATTGAGGGCAATATGAAAGATTCTGTAATGAAAACAGTAATGGTAAAAGGAAAGCTGTCTTTCTGTAATGCAAACACTAGTAAATGCCACATTAAACTGGATCTAAAGCAAGCCCTACAAAGTGTTTTTCTTTCACATAAAGCATAATTAAATTAGCCAACTCATTGCCACAGGATATTGTGAAGGCCAAACTACAATATGTTTTATGAAGAAAATCAAACACCTTAGTAGTATAGAAGTACATGAAAGAGCATTAAACTTGATGGCTTCAATATGGTTTCCATCTCAGGCTAGCCAGTAGTTACCAGAATCTAGCAAGGATGTAATAGGAGGAAAAAAGTTAGTTCTGCATCTTATTTTTTTGTGGTGTTTTCCTAAATCCTGCTTATTATTAGCCTCGGCAGAGTTACAACTTAAGCTGCAATTGACAGTTGATAAGGGAAAGTGGGTGAAATAAAAAGAATTCCTGTTACAGCAAATGAACATATGTACCCATTCATCCCTTCACATTCAGCTCCAGATACTACTCCTCCACTTTATTTTTTTCCCTTTGTACCTACTGTGAATAATGGTTATTCCTGTGTTACTCAGCTTGATCCTCCTACTGGTTCCATGCTTTGTGCCTGTGGAAGTTCAGGGGAGTTCCTCGTGAATGATCTGGGGAAAGGGTGGGGAATAGGTGGTAAAAAACCATATTGTCCATGCACAGCTTGTTTTGTCATGACAGTAGTATGCTTCTTAGCTGTGCAAGAGCGAGAAAGTACTTTGTTTGGGAAAAAACCCCACCCTCATTAAATTGGTTTAATTTAAAACTATTAACTGAATAATGTTAGCAGTGTACTTTAAAAAAGCATAGACTACTGTGTGGGAGGGGTATTAACCTATTACAAGGGTTTTGCAGTCTACATTTAATTCCTTGTTGTGAGCAGTTTAAAACTACTTTGGGTGTAACTATGCAAATTGCAGCTACAGATTGATTTCAGTGTAGACATACCCTACAATATAGTTTTCTTGACTTCAATCTCAAGGAACGCTGTAATGTATAAGCATAGTATGATGAAAGTTTCCAGTAAGTTTCAATTTTGAGAATTATGAGTCTTCTATGTTTTAAAGATGTCAAGTTCAGCCATTAAAAGGAAAAATCTATACAAAGCTTTGCCTAAGAATGAGAAACTTGCAACATTTATTTATAAATCTGTTTTTATTTGCCTGTTTCTCTTTAGTAATTGTGAACAACATAGTGTGTTTTTGAAAACAAGAAGGTGAAAGTAAGTTCTTACATCAGTCTTGCTTCTTTTCTGCATTGAATAATGAGTACTTGTGGATATTAAGTGTAACTTTTTATGTTCACAGAAGCTCAGATCAGACTTCTTCAGGTACAGTTACGTGTTACACAGGAAAAGCTGGATAGCGTAGTGTGTGAATGCAAGAAAAAGGTAAGAGCTGAGTTTTCTTATCTGTAGAAACGGAATAGGTTCCCCTTTAAGAAGGAATCACAGCAGAATTCCCTCAGCTTTCCTTTTCAAGTATTAAAAACTAAGTTAGTTTTTTTTTAAATTTCCTAAGAATTTAGAGTCAAGAATAGTAATTTCTGTATAAATGTGATCTTGAGATAAAAGTTTGTGAAGTGTACTTAATGAAAAAGAATTTGAGGCAGGAAAACCACTGGAAATGAAGGTGTGCCCCAGCCATAGGGACACTGTAGTGCTGCAGAGTGCCCTAGCCATCACTGTGGGGAAGGAGAGTGTTTCCAGAGCCTGAGAAAAAGGAGGAGGATATGGTAGCAGTCAAACACAGATGTTGGTATGCAGAGAGAAGATGAGTGATGCCCAGAGCTGGGTGATGGGAGGAGAGGGATGAGAAATAAAAAGCCTGAGAAATTTAGTCAGGTGCTTTGGGTGTCCTTGGTGGAAAAAAGTGTGGAAAGTGCTGATCTGTGATCCACTTTAAGTGGAATATTGTAGTCGAAACAGAAATCAGGCTTTGTCTGTTCTCGAGGTTACACTTGCTGCAAAGGACTGTATGTGGAATTACATACCTGGGCAGATCAGACTGAAATGAGGGCAGTGTGAAGGTACACTGATATTTTACTGTTAGAGTGTACTACAGGTGAGTTTTGTGATCTGCACTGTCTGGCAATATGTTTTCAGGTGATGCTCAAACATCTCTTGAACTGTAAAACCTTAAATTGTTTGTGTCTGTCTGCCAGAGGGATCACCTCCTTTTCACACATTTGTAATCAAGCAAGGCTTTTGAACTAACTTTCCATTTTATGCAATTAGATTATTCTTAGTTGTGGTCTCTCAGCTTCAGAATGCTTTTTTCCACCTGTTCCCCAGGCCCAAACATGATGATGACATTCTGAACATATGGCAAACCACCTATATGCTTTCTCTCAAGCTTTTAAATTAGAGTTAAGAAGCAGGGTGATATTAAATAAGGTTTTTTGAGATAGGTATCTGGAGAAAATCTTTAGAAGGAATTAGATTTTGATATTTTATGTCTGTACTTTATACTTTATTTCATCTTTATCAATACAGTTGCTTCTGCATTTCAATACTTTCATGCTGTGATCTGAAGAAAGTTGTTACATTAGATTTTAAAGACATTTTTAATTTCCAAATCAAATACAGTTTTGTCAATAGCTATTGAACTTCATCGTTGCATGCCAAAAATACTAGAGAATTCAGTTACTATAGCAGATGACAGAAGACAACCTTGTACCTATTTTGTCCTGCTCCCATAGCACTATGTATGTAAACACATCTTTTTGGGTACTAGTTTCTCTGGTGTGAAAATAATTTATTACATTCAGAAGGTCACAAAAATTTCATACTTGCAAAGCGTTGAGCTAGATTCTGGGTTTTCTTCCAATTCACAGTCCAATTACTATAAGGAAGCAATAAATCTGTTTTAAATATAAAGAAGTGGTGTGTGCGGTCATGTGAAACTTCAGGCAAAGCACATGTATTTCCCAGGTGAGAAGCATGTATTCCTAGGGCTGAGAGGACAGGAGAGAAAGACTTGTTTTCGTAGAAACTCCATTTTCTCTATGTGCCTTGATTTCTTTTTCTTAAAGAAATGAAGGGCATAATGCATCTCTGAAATAACCTACATTAGTATTCACTTACAATGTTTGAAAGGTTATAAAAGAAAAATGCCTTGAAATTATAATGCTTAATGTGGGATGTAATTGCTAGTAGGTCATGAAGCTAATACAGGATTCAGCTGATGTTAAGAGAATCTTGAATTTGAATGCTTGATGTATCCTGGATCATTAGCTTGCTTTTAAGTCAAAAACAGATAATCTCCTAAAACATAATGGATTGATTTATCAGTAATTATATTCTCTTCTTTTTGCCAGAATTTTTCCTAATGTGTGCATTTAGCTATTCTCACAAAAATGTCACAAAATATCTATGTGCCACTGTTAGTTCTCAAAACCTTTGAGCTATAAGAAATTAAATGTTTTACATACCGCTACAAGACAGTTCTGAGTAAAAGACTGCAGAAAATTAAATGAGAAGAATGTTACTGTTTTTTTAAGTATTGTCCTGATAAATTGGTGGTTTGTTTTCTTAGTTTGTCTTAGTTGTTTCCTTTATTAAAATTGCTGTGAAACCCATGCTGAATTATCTAAACATTTAACAATAACGTAATTTTTAAAAATCGTTATCTCCATATCAACCATATGTATATTTTACTGCCATTTATTTACAAAACATTACTGTTGCATTATCCTACTGCTTCGTTGCAATAATTTAATTGGGTTTTTTGCTAATTACTGTCAATCAGGATGATGAAAATCAGAATTTAAAATCTCGGCTTAAAGATACTGAAGAAGAAACCAGCAGACTGCAACGAACAATCAGCATGCAACATTCTCAGACTGAGAAGTACAAAATGTTGTCACAAGAAGCAAACAAAAAAAGTGAAGGGTTACAACAAGAGGTCATTGCACTAGAAAAGGTATTGCAGATATTAGTCTCATTTATCTCACGAAAGGGAAGAAACCACATCAAATGACCCTCTGTACCCTAGTTTGATAGATTGGTATCCAATGATCCCATTAGCGTTTCAATCTCTGATAAGAGTTTTAGAAATTGTATTTTTAAATGGTCTAATCCCGGTTTTAAGGGAACAAATAATATATTTTGCTAATTGCTTTTCTTCTGCTTCTACAATCATGTATTACTGTATTTTAAAATTAAATTCTTGTATGAAAGACCAGCAAGAGGCAGAACAACCTTTTCAGAAACTGCTGTCAATTTCACAAAGCAATCTTGAAAAATAGAGGGAAATTTTGTGTTTTCTGGGTTTAATTATAATTGTTATTTCTGGTTATAAGAGTTTTATTGTAAACTGTAGAGCCTGGTGATCATTTTGAAACAAACCACCTGCAGCTTATATTAGTATTTCTGCAGGTAGAGGAAAGGATGTGTCTTCGTTCTTGAAAATGGACTGTTGGAAAAGCAGCTGCTCCAATTTGGATGAATCAAAATTAACCTGGCTCCTGCTGTAGGCCACATATGCAAAATTGTATACGTGCCTAGTTGTAGCAGATGGCCGGCATACACAGCTTTGTTTGTTTGGAACTTAATCTAAGAGCAGCATGTGTTTTTCTTTAATTACTCAGAGCTAGAGAGGTTGACTTCAAAATCATGTACTACATACAGTATTGTGTAGTACATGAAATGTAACCAAGAGAATGTTTCACTTAAAATTTGGGGAAAACAGAACACAACTCAGCCTAACAAAGTCTCATTACACTTCCATTACTTCATACTATGCATTTGTATGGGCATGCTTTCATCTTAACGTTATGTAGTTCTGGCATTTTAAAACTAAAATGTTCTAAGCTCGTGTGTTCTTTTTGTGCAGATGCTTGGAGGTTTTAATTTCCTTTAAATAAATACCCTGATTGTTGATTCCATCAGGAAAAATGTTCAGTAGCAGTACTGGTACTACTCATTGGCTCACAGTAAATAGGGCTAAGAGACTGACAAAGTCATTTAGTCCATTCTCTTAAACCAAGACAGGATAGGTTATATCCAAAGCATCATGGACATATATTTGTTTAACCTGTACTTAAAGCCTTCTGTGGTGGCAATTTCCATCATTTCCTTAGACAGTCTATGCTGGTTCTCGTACACAGTCACAGTTAGAAAGTTTGTCCCAGTATTTAGCAGAAGTCTGTTGTGATGAAAAGTTTATTCACTTGTGCTGTACAGCTACCATGTCCAAAATATGGTCGCTTTCCTCACTTTGCTCTGGATTTACCATACTCAGTTGCTTCAGTTATTCCTAATAGGTTGTGTTTTCTAGAATTCTCAAGGCTACTGATCAGACACAGTCATGACAAATAGTGGTAGTTCATTAAAATACTGAGAAGGTAAAAAAGGCAGGTATATGTAGTGAATGGTTCTCTGCCAATTCAGAAGTTACTTTACATATTTTTCTGATAACAAAAATCAACTGCCGAAACCATGCATTTAAAAATCACTTCTCAGTAACTGCTTAAATCTCCTATGGAGTTAGCAATCTGAAAACTTTTATTCTTTAGGTGTGAAGTATTACTCAACACTATATAATTGATGTAGTTCTGGCTTAATTCTAGACATGTTTAAAAACAATTTCCTGTGAACGCGGGCCTGAATTTGTACTGCTGTGCCACTAAATTCTGAAGACTCATTCAGGTCAGAGAAGATTTTCCATACAACTGAGGTAGCACAAATGTAACCTCTGATTTTGGGGCTTTTATTGCTTTTTTGTGATCTCTGTTACAACATAAATAATAGAAGACTTAAGTTGTGATATATGCTTTCCCAAGCTTCCTTAGATTATCAGCAATTTATGCAATTTCATTAATCCCCCAGCTACCTTTTTTGTATGTGCCTAGGCAAAGATTCTCGTGTAGTTTTTCACAATTAACCTGAAATATGGTAATTAGTTTGTTATTTTTACATTTCATTCTTTTGGTGTTTGGTCTCTCTGAATGGAACGCCCACCTCAGGCAGCAGCTGAATTCTGATGCTCCTTGAAACTTCCATCCTCTTCTTTTCAGCATTCCTTTTTTTTTTTTTTTGCAACTAGCTGGTCTAATAAATATCACCTCTCCTGTCTTTTTTCACTACCTGTCTACAAGAATATTCCTTCCTCTCTCACTTGTTAATTCAATCTAGCTATAACGTTGGATAAAGGTCAGGGAGAAACCAAAGTTGTGTTCTTACTCCTTTTAAGGCTTTGTGCAGGGATTTTATAATTTGCCTTGAAGAAGGGCTTGTTACGCACACATTCTCTCTCAAATGTTTTTGGGTTGGGCAGGTGTTGCTGAGCTTTCTAAAGATAGAAGTGCTGTGTATGCTTGCTACTGGGAGGAAAGACAGCCTGCTAGGAGGGTTACTCACAGATGAGCTCTCTGGTATCACACCCCTACTGATACTCAAGTGCCTCAGGCCCTCCAGAACAGTGGAGAAAATCCAGAGATTGAAATGGGATGCAGTTTTAGAATATAATGTTTCTCTAAGAGGGGGAAAAACCTACTATGTGAGAAAATTAATCCACCTTTTATTTAACGTATTGAAGAATTGGCAGAACCCTTGCCTACTTACAAAATCAAATACTTATTTCAGGCATTTTTAAGATGAGAAACTTGGAGTCAAATATATTTAAGAATATACCCTCACTGGGTGATTTGCAGAAAATCCTTGGTAAGGTATTATGTATGACAGTAAATGTCAAAAAGACCTAAGAGAATTATTAGAATGCTTCCATTAAATTATATGGTTAGCTGATACATTTGCATTGCATGCAGACTATTTTTTTGGTCACTAAATGCTTAAAAGGCTATATTCTAAAGCTTTTCATATTAATGCAGAATAAAATACATAGCACAAAAGATTTAGTTGACCCTATTCACAGGTCCGTCTTCTTAATACAAGAGGTTTGCCCACTGTGCAGCTTTTCTGTGGAAACATAGGGGTCAATTCCCAGCAAACGAATTTGCGTTCCTTGATGATGCACGTGCATGTGTTCCAGGGAGGGGCTCTGCTGCCCAGCTAACCAGGCTTTTACCCATCTTTTTCTAATCAATCAGGTGGACAAGTTAGTGACAAAATATAAATGTTGAAGCAACATCTGTTTTATGTGAACTCTTGGAGGAGGCACATTCACCAGTAGAATTTTGGAGGATTAATGAGATGCATCTTACTCTCCTGTTTTCTTCATCCATTTTGGAGAAGATTCAAAGCTTCCCATAAATACCTGTTTCAGTCATAACTTTACCATAACGCCTTTGCTGCATACACTTGTCAATTAGTATGCATTTATTGGATAAGTGATGTGGAAATTAGAAGTAACCACGGCAAGAGCTGGTATGGAATTGAGAAAATAGAACGGTTACTCAGATATAATGTGGTCTGAGGGTATAAGGTTAAGAACAAGCCCCTTCTCTTGGGGGCTAACCCTGATTTGGTTAAAAGAATCTTTCTGTGCCCATGACTAAAAATTTGATAGTATTTTTTCTTAAAAAGTACCATTTCTTTTTCACAAATGAAAATACGTGCTTTTTCTGCCATAATTGTTTATTTCTTCTACTTTGTCTTTTATCTGTATTCCCTGATCTTAAATCTCGTTATTCTGTTCCTCAGCTTGGTCTCTTCTCATTTCCCCACTATGAAATACTATCATCGGAGATGAAACTGTTCTGATTTTTGCCATAAACACTTGATGAACTGTTCTCTGCTAGGTGAAATAGTTACTACCCTCAGCCATCTTCAGTAGGCTGTTTTAACTTTTTATTGGTAATTGCATGTAGTAATTTCTGAGGAAAAGAGGTAAAAGGAACAGGTAGGAAGAAGCAGCTCCAGAGCTGCCACAGAGTGGGCATACCGAAATGTTTTTCTTTTTTTCTGACTGAGCATACAAGGTTTTTCAGTTACTCCTGGGGTCTTACGTGATCAGCCCCACAATTTTTCTAAGAGAAGTTTAAAACAAAGATGAGAAAGATTCCTTTCCAAGATTTCAAAGGAGAAGAGGATGTTTTAACAGTGAAATTAATGGTCTTTGAGACAGATTCTATCTGCAGGCCAAAGAAGTCCACAGACTCTAAGTTTTCAAGGGTGAGCCTTGCTGTAAATGTGTTGTCTGTGTGGGATTCATTAAAATACCATTATTCATAATGTTTGTTTTTATCCTTCTTAAATAGGAATTGGAGAATCTAAAGCGTGTACAAAAGCAGGCTGCGAGCAGTCAGAGTGCAACAGAGGTTCGCTTAAACAGGGCCCTGGAAGAAGCAGAAAGGTATAAAGTGGAGCTGAATAAACTGAAGCAAAGCACCAAGGTACAGTGGCTTCGGAAAACAAGTTCTGAGCTGTAACCACTCAGTAATGCTAGATGAGACAAAAGGCCTGATTGGCTTTGGAAGTACCACGTCTCTTACAGACAGGCCCCAAATTAACTTAGACCAAGTTACCAAAGGTTGATATGTTACCTCAGATGACACTAATGCAACCTGTGCAGGAGGAGGAAACGTACAGAATAAATTCACAGCCTTTCTGATTTTCCTCATTTGTGTGGAAATTAGATGTGTTTAGAAAAAGGGAGAAGTGCACATACACATCTAATATATGCACAGGCAAACCGTGGCTGTTATCTTTGATATTTTCTTTTTTTATGTTTTGATGCGGGAGTATTTTGATTAATCCCATTTCTTTTCAGAAATGTCACTTGTGGCTTCTGTTTGTAATTTTGTTATGTAATACCGAGTTTCATTGGGTAAAGCACCAGTTCCATAAATAATACTTCTCTCCTTTTCTTCTCATGGTAGAATGTAGCTAACCAGGAACTCAAAACAATTGAAGAATTAAAAACAGAAAACAAGAAACTGCAGAAACAAAAAGGAGAGCTAATGATGGGTTTTAGAAAACAGTTAAAGTTAATTGATATTTTAAAGAGACAAAAGGTAAGGACCAGAGTACTGTTACATTTCAGTTACCCCCCTCTAGCTAAACCTGTCTGGGTAATCGTGTAAACTAGAGCCCCAAGACGGGGACGTTTCAATGCAAGGGAGCAGCAGCCTCCCTCTTAATAATGCATATTACTAACATTTTGCTTTGTACTAAAGGCCGATTTTCTTTCGAATTGACCCCATTCCTAATGTGGAACATGCCCTGTCATGGTGAAGGTTTACTACTGACAAGCTTTAGGACCGAGAGTGTCTGTCTTTTTCAAAACCAAATACTGTTCAGGCAGTAACAGCAGCTGACTTTGGTGCTGTGTCAGTAGAACCCATTTGACCATGTGAGATTTTTTTTTTTTTTTTTAAAACTTTTTCCCCCACAGCATGTTAATTGTTATATCAGCAGCTGCAACAGCATGCCCCTCTCAGGAGAAAGCCATTACATTTCAGGCCTATATTCTTCCTGGGTTCTCAAAGCATGTTCTTTGTTAACGTTCTTTCTTTTTATTTCTATGCTGAGGTGTTCTATGCATGTACAATTCTGCCCAGGTGCAGATCTCCTTGTGTGTCGGGGGGAAAAAAAAAGAGAGTACTTACCCTAGCTGTGAATTTACTAGATTGAAGGAGGGGAGTTAATCTCTACCTTTTGTAATTCCCAGAATATCATGCATACTTCGAATCACACACAGGGTAGTAACATCTGCATGGGTGTTCCCAACCACACTGCACATGCAGCCTGATTTTGAAAGTCGTTTGGTTTTACTCTCATATCTCCCTCGGGGGATAGAAGGGGGAGGGCAGGGGCTACTGCTTTCCAGTTTCTTTAGCAGCAGAAGCTGAAATTGCATAGAGGTTGGGTAGCAGAATACTTGCTGACAATTTGTGCTGAACACAGTGATACAGTTTTCATAGAAAGGTATTGTAGTGAAAATGGATTAATACTTCAGATAGAATATAGCTAAAAAATGTGTTTAACTATCATATTTTATAAAGCTGTACTGATGTCCCAAAAAGGAGGGGTTTTTTACTGGGAAAGAGAAACCTTGGACACTGTGGAGTGGGTAAATACCTTTCTATTTCTCAAAATATATTTTCAGGCTGTCAAATGAGCTTTGACAGTACAAATGGGAAGAAGTACAAATGGAAGAGGAGAGTATACTAAAAGATGCTGCCCATAGCAAACAGTTTTCCACTTACTGACACATTTAGGTCTTATAGTTCCATCACACCTTTCACTTACCAAATACTTGGGATTGCGTGCTATCATTTGTATCAGTTTTCCTTCTGAGGCTGCACGAGACGTGCAGAGCTGTAGGCTTCACAGCTGTCTAGACAGGATCTTAACATCACGGAGTGGTTCACCTGTGATGCTTACTCTGCTGAATCGAACGTGATTCATTTCAGGATGGAGTTAACATGCTGCCTTTTGTGCTCTCAGAGCAAAGCTGTAGGAGACCTAAAGCAAGCAGGGTATGGTGAGGTGCTGAGCAGCAGCACTGGAGAAGGGCTGGTCTTTGAGCTGGGAAAACAGAACATTTGATTTACCCTTTGAGCGCTGCAGTGACCGCCAGAGGTTTTGTAAACACTCTTGAAGCTATTGGGCCCCTGTAGAGAAAGAACAGCGCTGTATGAAATGGCAACTTCATGTAGCAATATACCTATGCTTATCCTAAGAGTTGGGAATCGTGATATGGACATACGCCCCTGAACCTGGAATGCCTCTCCAGGGTAGGACAAAGGAGGGTAGGTAATTGGAGTAAGAGGAGCTGGGGCTGCCTGGGCATTTCCAGTGGAAGAGAATTTTTCTGGCAGTAACAGGATGCAGAAGAAATCTTAGGGATTCAGCTAACAGAAATAGTGCTAGCTCAGCCTCTGGCTGGCCCTTCCAGCTCTTCAAGTTTACTTTCAGAACTAAAAAAAATACAGCATTCACTCAAAATATACTCCACACATGATACCTCACTGTAGCTCACTGTCCTCTGGAACATGAATTCATTTAATGGGTGTCAAAGAGCAGTATTTCTGTTTGTGAACTAAAAACATTGTCTCAGATAATGTCTTCATTAAATATTTTTTTAAAAAATTACAAGTACTGTATCAGAACCACAGATGGTAGAGGAAGCCGCTTACCTTTTATTATAAAAAATGTTATTTACTGACAGAGGACGGGTGTGGCTGGTTCTCCTTTCAGAACAGACTAGGCTTGGAAGAACCTGCAGGAGAACGGCACTAACTGCTTTTTACAGCTTCTGGCAGAAGGCAGTGGGTGAGGGCAGCTAAAGCTCACATGTGCTCAGCATACATAATCACCTGAAGAACTTCAGGTCTGTGTCACACAAGCCTTTTGCTGGATGAATGAGGAAAACCTGATTTGGGCCATTTGTGTGGCAGAGTCAGACATGCAGCAGGTACAGCTAGCCTGAAGGTGAGGATAGCTACCACATGAGGAACAGGAGAGGGAAAAAAATCCCCCAAAGGTATTCAGTATCAGTAGTAGGATGAGCTGCAGCTGGCAGTGAGTAGCTGCTGGTGTTCCAGTTGGTCTCTTCAGACCATTCTCTGCTTGCCCTGAGAGACATTTTAATAGGAAAATCTTAGTTTTAAAAGGATTAATGGGAGTTACTCAGAGCTTTACAGAGCTGGAGGGCGTTACACTGCCTGTGGGAACTGCAACACACGTTGTTGCTGTTTTGAACTGACAGTATGTCTGTATGTAAAAAAAACCCACAACAGGTTCCTTGTAGGCAGGGATTGTTGCCTGTTCTTCAAAGCCTAACCATTTTACTAAAATTTGCAGTAAAAACTATTTAGCTGGGACACTTTCCACTTTGAATGACAGTAGGTAAAAAGATTGTACTCTGGTGTGGGGAATGAGGTGTGGCACAGCTGTGACCTCTGCTGTGACATCAGCTGGAACCCAGTGAGCTTCCAGGGCTTTCCAGCTGGGAGCTCTCCGCAAATACACTGATCCTTTAGTACTCATTTTCTCACCCAACCTTGATGACCCTGATGACATTTTTCCAAGCAATTGCATTATTTGAACAGAAAATATCCTTGTTATAAGTTAAAAAGGTCTATTTGTTCCTTTCGGTGTTCCACTTAAAGTAGCGTGCTATGTAGTGGCAATACAAATTCAGAACACGGTATGATTTTTAAACATGTAGATACGTACATGTATGGGGCTGCGTGTGTGCATGTGCCATGATGGACCATAGATGTATGGTGCGATACATGGCAACACAGCTACCAGTGGTCGGCTCCTGGTGTTTCTTGTTAAGGTGTAGTACAGTTACTCTGTGTTTTGTGCTGATTGTTAATTTTTAATGGTGTTACATTGTTAAAATCCTGTTAAAATGTTAAATGTTAAAAAAATTAATATTAAATCACACAAATTAGAGGTGCTAGCACACTGAATCTTAATGATGTATTGGATTTGTAATAGCTTTAAAGTTAAGCTGTATATTGATCAGCTTGAAACAGTGTCTACTGGTTTTCTTATGGGTGTTCTTTAGAGGTCACAAGAGTTGTCACATTTTCAGTAATTTCTGTGCCTCATTAAAATGGAGATATTTTAAAAGCAATATAAGGAACGAAGAAAAGCTATTGGTCCTGTTTTACTAGAGCTGAAGTTGCAATGTTTAGCATAAAATTTATCACATTATCCCTACACTATAGATTTTTGCAGAAAAATACAAGCTTCAGCTTAAACAGGTGAACACCCATCAAAACCAGACTGTGAAAAAGCAGAACGACACAGTTGAAGCCCCTGTCAGCTCTCCCAGTTACATGGGGTTTTGCATTGGTCATTGACACTATTTTACCTTCTGCTCCTAATTTTTTTCTCTTTTCTTTTTTAAAGATGCACATTGAAGCTGCTAAGATGCTTTCTTTTACTGAAGAGGAATTCATGAAAGCTCTTGAGTGGGGAAATTATTGATTGCATAAAAAAACCAACTTTATTTGAAATACCAAGTCAGATGGTACATTATTTTGGCACTGTGTATGAATGCTTGTTAATAACAACAGTTAATAACTGTATAGCCCTGTGAACTGATTTTGTTAATTTTGCTTATGTTTAAATCGTTTAACTTTTATAACCCTGATGATAGCTTGTGTTGTAATATTGTATGAAATACAAATTTCTGCTGAAGTTCCAGGGCAAACTTTCCATTCTGTAATGAGCGGAGAAGCACGGACCATGCAAGGAATATTCTAACAGGTGAACTTTGTTACCAGTTTGCTCTGTTTTAGCATTTAGAAATGTAACTGATCTAAGGTAATATTCAGTCCAAAGAAGTCAGGGTTTGGTCTCAGAAAATTCCTTGTTGCAACAGAATAAATGAACCAGTGATCCAGCAGGGAAGAAAATGCCAGGTCCTTTTTAAAACACGTGGTTGGAAAATTGGCCTTGTTGTTCTCTATAACAGATCTCCCCTCAAAGCTGGGAGCTTAAATTAGACACCAGACCAACAACAGCTCTTTGAGAGAAATGCTCATCACTTTTTTTAGCTGTTACATCTTACACCCTTGGAGGGCAATACATAAGACTTGCCCCTGGCTCTCCAGCTAGGCTCCACCATCCGATACCATGGCATTGTTTAAAACAGCTGCTTTTGTCAAGGTGAAAATATGAAATCTTTCTCTGGCCCTCAGCTGCTGCTTTGGGATACAGGCAGGAGCGATGGCTCCACATGCACAGGTGCTCTACAAGCACGACATCCTTAAAGATTTTATGTCATCTTTATAATCAAGAACTAGATAAAAGTTTGAGTGTAGACGAGCTGAGCACATCACATGTACGTTAATGAACAGGAGCAATAAAGGTCTGTGCTGCTTGCGCAAACCTCTGTCAACCCCCAGCTGTTTCAGTGGATTCCTCCCTTGAAGTAGTGGAGTAGGAACACAGCACATAAACAGGGAGTTTATGCACAGAAAGAAAGGTATGAACAGTGATTCTGACCTCAAAATGGAAAAATGTCTCTGCTTCAATCCTGCTAGCAAAGCAACATGAACTAACAGTGAAACGAGTAACTCGGAGTTACCCCTCTGAGATGAGAGAAGCTCCATTTACACTAGAGTTGTAGTAGTGTAATGCCAGCGCAGATAAATCTGTCCATAACAACCAGTAATAGTGCACTAAGGGAATCTTATCGTCCGTACTGAAATACACACGTGAATTTACACTAGCTTAGGTTTCTGCAAAGTTGCTGGAGAAAGCATTTTTAATATTGCTACATCACTAGCAGAGAATAATCGAGAAATCCAGTTTATTGATGAAAAATGGAAGTACAACATACGCTTAAATAAAACTAGCTGCTCGTAGGTTTAGAGCTCCAGTCTTAAAATGGAGCCTTTTTACAATATGAAAAAGGAGTTCCTCACTGTTAACAGGAAATGGCAATTTTCATTAGAAGTCAGATGACACCTAGCGGCAAACCAGGAGATGAGAAGAGATGGGGGAGGTTTCAGCTCTCTTCTGAAAATGCATTTCCTCTTCTCTTCTGATAAGCCAATCTAAATTCTTCTCCCAGCATGTTAACGTCATCCTCGTCTTTGAGTATTCCCTGCAATAAGGGGAAAGAAACACAGGCCAGAAGGTAAAACAAAGCAAAGAGGCTATTACAGATCTCTGAAATTTTCGATGGAAGTGAATCCAAGAGCTTGTATCCATGGCACCAGTGTTACCTTCAAAACAAGCAGCCCTGAAAACCCTCACAAAACTCCAACAGAGGAGTTTCACACAGGCGTACTCGGAGCTAACCTAGAACTGCTTTTTTCATTCTTCACGCAAACAATGAGGAGAACCCCGTACAGACTCCAGCATGAGCTCTGCACAAGGACACCACTGCCCCGCATCCCCTCTCTAATAAAAGTGATCACAGCCGCAGGTTTTGTAAAACAAAGCAACTGCACCGAAAAGAGGCACTTGCTGGGGCGGGGCTCTATCTCCACCTTGAGTTCTGTTGAAAAGAGCCCGTCCAAAGAAATCATTTTGGAGATCGGCTGATACTGAACAACTTAATCAGAAATGATGTTTTGGAGAAGGGAGGCAGGGGAACCCAGAAATCTAAATTGCTAGCGAAATCTAATTATTTTTAGGGCTAAAAATGTGTATGACCCACAGAACATCCCTTGCAGCATTTAGGAAAAAAGTAAAATTACAAATTGCATTTGCACTGGAGACTTTAGAATTAGGTAGAGCTTTTCTATTTGACCATTTTGAGTGAAGTCACATGATGTATAACCACACGATTCAGACACGGCGCTGAAGCAGAGAAAAGAACAAAGCGGAACACATCAATACCACGGACCAGGTGAGAGCCGCGGACACTCTGGAATAGCAAGACCTCCTACAACAGTAAATTCAAGCCAGAAAACAGTATCAAAACATTGCCAATTTTAGTTATTCTTTCCTTAGATCTACATTAGGAAATACTCCAAATTTGACAAATTCATGCACCAAATTAGCATATTAATATTTGAATAAGAACTGTACTTGCCATATTTACAATATATTCCAGCATTGCAGAAAGTAATTTAACAGTTCATTGAATAGTTAAATAAATTTCTTTAAATAGATGCATTTTTACATCCCTAAAGCAGCTCTCTGTTCATTTGCGTACCGTCAGGTGATCTTTCCGATTATGAAGTATAATGCAAAACAAGTTGTAGTTTATTCCTATTACAATAGTTGCTTCCATCGTTTTAACTTCTAAAACCACAAGGATGAACAGAGCAAGCGTTGAAATGCTTCTGTGAGCACTGCACCTTGCTGCACCGCAGCAGACGAGGCCTTGTTTCCATGGTAACAGAGACTTAGAAGACAGCCAACACTGTAAGGAATGGCTCCCAAAACCCCAATGAGAAGTTTTCTGGAAAGGCAGAGCCCTTTCCAGCTAGAAGAGCCCTGCTTTAGAACTTGCATTCCACATCCCAAACGCCAGGTGTGCAAAGTGCTGTGGAAGCTTTTGGCAAGTTCTGTACGAGGCATCAATACTGCAGGAGAGCCCAAAGCCCCATGTGCAGAAAGGTTTTGTAAGCTGCTTCCCAACCCAAAAAGGAAAAAAAAAATATAAAAAGGAGAAGGTGAGCACGGGACAGCTGACACAGTAAGGATAAGGACACCCACTGACTCCAGGAACTTAGGCAGTTCTGCAGCTCCCACTTGAACTATCCAGGAGAACACTGATCTAAGGACAAACATTTAAAGCATTTAAAATACAATCCGCTTACCCGAGGAAGATAACCCAGTAATTTAGATGCATGCTCTTTCAGGAGCTTCTGTCTCTCTTCTTCAACAATTGCTCGGATGTTTTCTTGTCTTCTCTCCTCTGTCTGTCTTTCTTCAAGCTCACGCTCCTACAATGAACAAGCAAGTTTTCGTAACCATTCAGTTGCAGTTCCCTGAACATTTGTTTCCACCAATATCCCCTACAGTATAAAGAGAAAATTTTTTTAGCTGAGTAAATTTTGAACTTCCACTTACTAACCCCTGGTTAGAGGAAATGAATTTGAAAAGGATGGAAAAGTTTATGTAAAAAAACACAAAGCACTGTTTAACCAACACGTGTTCGTAACTAGAAAAAAAATCTCAGACACAAGAGAAGACTGCATGGCAAGACATGAGGCTAGTCTGCTGTCTTAAGTGCTTGGTCTCATCCTAGAAGCCCTTTTAAAGGTAGTTAGGCGTTAAGTTCCAGTTCCTTCTTGGCTTCAGACAAGTTAGTCTGTTCCTACCCTACTGTTCTAATCAGGAAGAGGAGAAACAGGCATGTATTCTCATGCTGATGACTAGAAATTGCAATTCATATTACACATGTGATTTATATGCCATCAAACAGGTCCGAAAACTGCAGTGTAGGATGCCATGACTTGTTTCCAGTTTACACCTTTTCTTCCTCAGATGATAATTCAAGAGACTTGTCTAAAATCAAGGCTGGGACTTCCCCATCTCACACACCACCACCAGTGCTGGTGGTGGTGGTATGCTGAACTGGGCAACCGTTGTGTCGCGGAGCCTGCGGCTGTTGAAGAGGTGCCTGCAGAGCGTGTTGGGTACACGGGGGTCTAGGGACGTTGCTGACTCTACCCCTCTTGAGCTACAAAAAGAGTTCATGCCAAAAAGACTTTTCTTGTCAACAAACCAAAACAAAGGCTTGCTTCCCCCCCCGCCCCGCACATTTCTCTGCAATTCCCCTGTCCCCTTGCCCTAGTAACAACAGCCTCGTCACTCAGGACAGCAAAAGTATCCTCATATTGAAACGTTTTGGCTAAACCAAAGGCACAAGTGAAAACTCTTACTTTAGCTGCAATAAACTGTTTGCGACGGTCTTCAATAAGTTTTTCCACAGCCCTTCTGTGTTCAAGCTCTTTCATTCTTCGTTTCTGAGCGTTCATCTGTTCAATGCGGTCATCCTCGGCAAACTTGGCCAACATCTGTTGCCTGAAGACTTCTTCCTCTTCTTGCATAGCTTGTCGCGCGACCTTCTTTAAAGCAAGTTGCTCTTCGTACATTTGCTGTAAGTCTAGGCGTTGCTTTATTCTCTTTTCAATTTCTGCCTATAAAGGAAGTTTATTAAAATGCTGTATTACTGAACATACCTTGGAAAATTTTCATCATCATCAGCCAACCTACTTGATTTATCTTGGAACAGATTGACCATAGCTGTTACCTTCTAGCATAAATAACTGGAACAAACACTCCACATCCGACAGTGCTCTCCAGTATTAACCGGCTTGGCAAATGTCTCGGGATTCTCAAAATTAAGTCCAAAACAAAAGGAAATTTTTTTTTTCCCACTAGCATGAAGTGAATCAAAAGACAGTCGTCCCAAACAGCTCTCTAAAAATAACAGTACTGTGTATCTCAGCCTGTGTTACATTTTGTCACCCACAGCAAGACGAGACAAGAGTGTGCACAGGCCCATAGGAAAAAGCAAATGGCCATGCAAAAAGCAAGCACCTAATTAACCTACTTAGCTTAAAAAACCCGAACTCGAAAGTTACTGGCATTCTCCTTCATGAGATAAAGAAATATATAAAGGGGAAAGTGAGGGTACTGAAAACCTTCAGTTGTCTTCCTGGTTGAAATAAACACGTAAATACATTAGGGACAGGAAAGGAAGCGCAAAGGACCGAATCTTCCCTCCAGAACCCAAGTTAACATACGAACTGCTTGTCTGACTAAAAATATTTAGGAAATAGTGTTGCAAACAGACACTTTGTGCCAGAACAGAATTGAAAACAATTCAAATTCATTTAATACACCTAGAACTATGTCAGAAATAAGCTTTCTGCTTTGAGACAGCTCACGGGCCAAAATGGGCTCAAGGAAGTCCCTCAAAAACATCCCAAAGTCAGAAATAGCACCGCAGACTTAGCAAATCCAAAGTGTGAAAACCCCCCAGCCCAACCCAACCCTGCCAGCAGCGTTAGAGGAAAAGTTTTGGGAATGGGAGTTACCAGGCCTCTGAAGAGCATCTCCAGATGCAGAAGGAATTGCATGCGAGATATGCACTCACAAAATGTTCTTTCAGCATCACAACTCCAGTGACAACTTCCTAAGACTGAAAGAGCGCTGCTCCATCACAACAACATCCGGAGAAGCAAAGGGATGGAGGAAGGCTACGTAAAATACTGCTCCCTCCATTCACTTTACTACTTGTTTTCTAGATCAGCGACTGAAAATGTTTTCATTTTCTCTTTAAATCTTCCTACCTTGTCTGTTTAAATTCGTTTACCCATAGCTACAAGTGCTCCATAAATTGTATGTTTTCCTGCATATACGCTACTATTTTTTTTTTACAGAAGTTTCATTCAGACCAGCTCCCCTAACCTGAATATTCTGCAGAAATTATGGTGAAGTTGCAATATTCCTCTCCACTTGCATTTTCCTTAACAGCTTATGCGCAGGCACATGTACCATAGGTAGAACTTACTTACAAAAAAATGGCACCTGACAAGTACCAAGATACCCACAGATGTATACCTGCAGGAGAAGTCCAGGGAAAGTGAAGTATTCCCCCCCCCAGCACATGGCGGTACTACAGCTACCTGTCAACGCTTACCATCTCCTCCTTTCTTTCCATTTCCGCTTGTTCTTCCAGATACAGCTCTTGGCGGATTTGTTCCAGTTCTTCACGCTTCTGTTGTTCT